GGGGGGGGCGAAGCAGGGTGAAGAGGACGAATAAGAGAAAATTGCAAGAAAAAGTGCGACTTAGCCAGCGGGGTTATTTAATTCATAATTGAGTTCTTCTGAAGCTAGGCTTCAAAGGTACCAAACAGATCCGAATGAAATTGATGTGATTTTAGAGAGGAAATTAGAAAACACCAGAACTGAGGTACATTTCGAGCTGAACTTATCTCAGAGACGTATGTTCGAAAACGGCAACATGGCCTAGGCAACTGCCAAAGGATTTACGTCACGTGTCCACTCAATTCCTTACCTTACTTCGAATCCCAATAAAATCTGAGTTGTTAATGCAGTTGTGTATGTGTTTGTGTGTGTGTGTATGAAACAAATTTCCAGATTGGCATATGCGTGCGACCGGTGAAGAACTTGAAAAACAGTGGAATCTCAAGCGGGATATGCTCAATCAAGGAGTTCTGAATCGCCTTACTCAACGTATTTCTGTGGTAATATTTGGGTATATTCACCTGAATATGGCTTTTTTTTTAAAAAAAAAAGGTTCTGTCATTCACGAATGTTTGTTTTACAGGCTCGAAAACGGCGATACACTGGTTTTACATGCGACGCAGCAGATTTGAAGATTTTGAGGAGAGAATCCTGCGAGAATATGGTTTCGTTGACTCCTCCAGACAGCGCCATACCATTCATCGATTCCGTTGAACCTGTGCATCAGAAGAGGTGAAAACATTCTTTTTTTTTTTTTGAATGTTTTCACCGCTGCTCATTCTTTTTTTTTTGTATCTGAATTCTTGAATTTTTTTTTTTTGAATTGCAAATATACTCATTTCTAATACCTGCCACATTTGAATGTTTCGTGTTTCTAGCGATATCGGGCAGTTGAGTATTAGTTCCTTCAACATTTGTTAGAAATTTACTTTTCTTTTTTCCCTTGCCGTCTTTCTAATCGGGCCCAGAGAACTTGTTGCCCATTTTGCTTTCTTGCTCATGCTTATAAGTTCTTCGCAAGATTGATTTATAAAAATACCATAGGTTTTGTTTTCAATGGTGTTCAACTCACTGCTAACTGTCACACATTTCAAAGTGGTTTATACTAAGAGAAACGGTCTAGTAAAAAATTAGGGAATTCCCTTTGTGAAATCAGGCAAGCTGCTTCAATAAAGATTAGTGATGATATACATATGCATATTAAAAATAATCAAATGAATAGAAGGGTATTTTGAAATGGGAAGGAGAATGGAGGAGAAAATAATATTAAAAAATTTGTAAAAGCAATAAAATTATTATAATAAAATTATTGTAATAGTAAGAAATGTTTCGGTCCCTTAACTCGTATACATTTCTTACCATTACCACAACTTTACTTTGCTGGTTGACCGAAAAAAAAGCATCTGATGTAATCTGATCGATCTCCAAGGCGCATTCGTGGCTTTTCCATGTCTAAGATATGTTTGCAGCTGCTACATATTAATGAGAGATGTCAAAGCAAATGACGATGTCCAGAACACACTTGGAAAAGGGCTTGAAACGTTCAATTTTCAACTCGCTGAAAAGATCAGTCTGGATGCTGTGCCTGTGAACGACGATTCCAGTGTAGTGCCTGAAGTTGGAACTGAGACAGTGGAGAGTGAGCAACCATCATCGTCGTCGTTCACCGACAAGGAGCTCTGGGTCGAAAAATACGCGCCTCATTCATACGTGGATCTCATTAGTGATGAGGTAGTTTTTTAATTTTTATTGCCCACTGCCAGTTGGTAACATTCTTCTCCTGTTTTACAAGGGCAAAATTATTATTTATATATTTTCAAGGACTAGCACGGTATGCAATTGTTTCAGAATGTGAATCGCACACTTCTTAAATGGGTGAGACTGTGGGATGAATGTGTCTTCCAGAGAACTGTTCCGGAAGCTATCTTCAGAGCCGGTGAAAATGAGCATCAGCTTTTGTTGAACAACGAAAAGCCGAGACGACCGTTGCATAAAGTAAGTTTTTCTTGTGGCTTTTTTTAGGAAATTTGCTGAATGATCATTTCTAAGTTAAATGAAAAAAGCAAAGAATTTAGGTGGTTCTTATAGCTGGACCAGCTGGTTGCGGTAAAACTACGCTGTCCTGTTTGGTGGCGGAGTATGCCGGTTATCGAGTGCTCAGCTTGAATGCCAGGTAAAATGTTTTAGCACAGTTTTTTGGATTATTCCCAGTGTACAAAATCCTCATGGTTCTGTTGCATCCTGCATTTCCAACGAAATTTTCCTGTCAAATGAAGAATAGCTCTGTGTCCGAGTTTGATGAAAGCGCGCTTTATTTTTTATTTTATGCTATATATGAAGGTTTTTTTTTCAGTGATGAACGAAATGTTGCGGATTTTGAGAAATATTTCGGTAATACATTACGAAGCACGAGAACTCTGGATGCAGTAAGAATTGGCTTTATTCTCAATGTTCACTGCTGACACGGAGAATTACATATTAATTTTAAAACAGTTTCTGTAGCGCAAATTAAATAGTTTAATAGTCTGTTGTTTTGCTTTCATTTCATTATTAGCTCAGCCCGGAGTCTAAAATTATAGTTAAGAAATTATAGCTAATTGGTCCTGACCCGTCCAAAATGTCAGGTGCGCTATTATTTCCGATTTGTTTTTCAACTAGCCTAGAGAAAGTAAATTATCCAGTTGCTGCCTTTGCCTCACGAAAATGCCATGGATCGGCCTGTCCAGTTCGGGCGTAGGACGCACGATTAGTGTGGATAATTGGCGCGAAAAATGAAGAAACGCCTATGTTCTAGGATTCTCGGCCACTTTGTTTCGTTTTGGACGAGATTGATGGTGCCCCTGCACAGTCTATTCGTTTCCTGTGTAAGGCTATTGCAGCAACCGGCAAGCGTTCGCTCCGACGACCAGTCATTTGTATATGTAACAATTTGTTAGTTTTAATGTTTCCACTGATGACTTTCCTCGAATAAGGAATTGCCTATGGGCGATTTGTAATAGCTTGGCTAGTTATCTGCACTGTTGAAGCCAGTGGGCGATTTTTTGATAAATTTGAAGTTCTAGCAATTTCATGCAAAAAACTGATAATCATGCACACTGAAGGTCCGCGCGGCCTCATAATGCAACAGCTTCATCCCAGCCGACGTCCTTTCTCCTTGCATGCGGGAAGGGATCAAGCACAGTCAATATGAGCCTAAGTGTTAAATTACAGCGTAGAGGCCATTCCTCCTATTAGTGACCTACAAGTTTAGCGCAGAAGCACATGATCGCACCGGCTAGCCTGGTGCGTTGCAGCATGGGTTTTTTTTTGCAGATATACCTCCTCGTTGCGTGAACTGCGATCAGTAGCTTTGTTGCTCAGTTTGGCCCGATGTGATGCGAAACGTTTGGCAAAAAGACTTGAAGAAGTAAGCTTTTCAGTGCTGTGAAAGTAACTTTTCAGCGCTGGAATTTTCTTCCTACACTTCACAGCACTTCGTTCAGATTTCAAAACTCGAGCATTTACAAGCGGAAAAAAGTGCGCTGGATGAAATTATCGCAGCATGCACGCAGGATCTTCGTTCTTCAATCAACACACTGCAATTCATTGCTTCTGAGAACCGTGGCCTGGTCACTCGTCAAGCAGTCCGCAAAGTAAGCACACTTCTATAAAATGCTACTTGCCACTTAAAAAAATCTGTTCATTTGAAAACTCTGACAAAATTAGCCTTTTTGGAAAACGCCTAATTTTTAGGTAGTGTTAATCTATTGAATCAATATAATTGATATTCGATTATCACAAGTAGCAGTACTGATTTGCTAGAATTTTTCATGCGTCAGTATTGGTTGCATGCGAAAAAAATTCCATGTTTTTCACTTAATTTTCATTTACCTTCTATAACTGAGCTTAAAGACGCTAATTTTTTTAGCCGTCAACCTCAAAAGCTGCTCGTTTCGTTGCTGACACTTCCCCTCGTTTGCTCCACTCACCTCCTCTCCCTTCGCTCCCTCCTCTCCCCGTCGATTTTTCTCATGTTCTGTTCCGCCTCCCCCACCCCCCGCTTATTTTATTTTGAAGAAAAAATGATCAAAACTCTTTTATTCGTTTGCTGATGTATTCTCCCCTCTCTCACCTTACTGATTTCGAAAATGCAAAGAAGCACTTCACTGAATATAACGATCAAACTGTTCATTGTATTTTCAGTTCTTTGAAATCAATAACCAGAGCGGGGATAGCACCTTGTATGATTCCTGGTCGTCGGTGTTCGAATTTCGTCTACATATGAACAAGGACGGTCAGATTCCTGGTCCAGCATCTCGACTTCGGCGCATCGCATCTCTGACGGATCGTCATGGGAGCGAATCTGACCGATTTTACCTGGGCCTGTTCAGCAATTATTTGTCGAGCCCAAATACCAGTCTGCTACCTAATGTTAGTCCCTTCCTCTTACAGTTCATTCCGACTGTTGCAAAAAAAAATATTTTAGGTAAATTTATTCTTCTTTTTCGTTTGTGCATGTTGATGAAGAGAATAATATTTTTTCTACATTTGACCTGGTTTCAAGGAAGCTTTTTGCTGTAACTTGAAGCGGAGGAGAGGCAAAAATGTTAAATTTGAGATAGTAGATTCTTTTTACAAGTGCTGCTTTTTAGGTTTCTGCAGCTATTACTCAGTTCTGTTATTACGATCGGCTCGTAACGTTCATGAATCGCGCTCAAGACTACAGAGTAATGAAGTACTTATGTGTGGTAAGCGCTGCTATCCATTTGCTGATGTGCAGCAGAGCGCGAGTTCAACTCAATTTTCCTTCTGAACTACAGGTACCGCATTTATATAGCCGATTTTAGCTTTAATTCACTATGTAACAGGTGTGGCTTCACTCTATGTCACATGATCTCCTTTTACTGTGAGTGCAGATCTTTCTGTAAGTAGAATTTGTTATCGCTGGAAACTCATCGCTTTCTTTCATTGGTAATAGCTGCTATGGAAACTGCTGTTAAATTTGAGTTAAAGAAGCATCTAATCGACAGGAGAATTTTGCTCCCCGAAAAAAGAGGAAGGAGGAGGGAAGGCGGAGGAGGAGGGCGAGGGGGAAGGGAGGACAAAGAAAGAATCGGAAAAACAAGCTCCCGGATCATGAGTAATTTGATCGCGACGTGGTGTTAGTATAGTTCTGGTTAGAGTAGCAGTGGCCCGGATGCGTTGGCGGCGCGAGGATTCGTAAGTGAGCTCATCCCGAGTATAAATGTTTTTATTAATGTATTCCGAGTATAAATGCTCTAACTAACAAAAACGACCTGCCCGCTGGGCAACTTGTGATGGTTTCATCCTGGTTTGGCTGTGAGACTGACTCAGGAAGCAATCAAAGGAGGAATTGAATCCCAAGCATACTAGTAGGAAATCACTGAAGCGAAGCTTGAAGTTCTAAAGAGCGTTGTTTTCCCAGTCCAGTACTGTTTGGGACATTCTCCCTTATCGCTCATGGAAATACCATGATGGCGGTTAAAACGCCACTTCTTGGCCACTAATGTTTTTTATTACAAAACAATTATCATTTTCTGCAGATTTGCCTGTAGAGGAAGTCTCTGCTTATGTTTCGCGGCTATTATTGTTGAGGGTGTATTTTAGGATATAGCACAACGCCATCAGCAATCCGTCGAGATAACTGAAAGCATTCGAGCGGGGGCCGCTCAGAAAAATCTCACTTTGACTGCGGTATTACTCGAAATACTGCCATACCTCATCCACATTGTGCAGCCGAATTTCAAGCCGGTTAGATTTTTTTTGAAATTTTTAACGATTACAGATTTCATTTCACTTATAATTATGTTAAACTTTCTTTAGCATTCTGTGTAACAAATGTGAATGGTTCTGTTTTGGAGTTACATGCGAGTAATCAGTGATTGCGAACTAGTATTTCCTGAGGGCTTTCAGCTCAGGTTGCCGCCCTATCGCCTTTTTTGCTTCGTCATGGAAAGTTAACCAGTACTCGTACGCAAATCCACCCCGCCGCTCTCCAGCTCTGGTCACGCAGGCCTAACTTCTTCCATGGACAGTGAGTAGGAGAAGTAAAGCGATGTGTTGTGATATTTGTTGCAAGTTAATTTATAATGGCTATCACAGTGATCGCATGCTCCCGGCAAAAGTGATCGAGAAGCCCTGAACAAGCCTCGAGAGAATTTATCGAATGCCGTTTATTACAGGCCACCGCTCATCTGTACAGTGCACGTGAGCACAATATTTTGCGATCGGTTGTTAGCGTGATGCGCTCATATTCGCTTACATACATGGTTGTTTCGCAGGATGGTTCGGCCAGTTTCACTTTCCAGCCGTACGTTCGTGCATTCTCATCATTTGTGAGCTGCGCCAGCAAATCGCTTTTTCGATTGCATTACTTTCAGAGCCATTGATACACTGGTCATGTTCGATGAAGATGCAGCGTGCTTGGCCAGTCGTCCCGTGAATAGACTCTCCGACACAGCAAAGCAGCTGATTGCTCGTCAGGTTTGCATTCCAAGATGTTCATTTTGTTGCGTGTTTGTGCATATGTGTGTGCGTTTGTGTATATATGTGTGTGCTTGTGTGTGTGTGTGTGTGTGTGTGTGTGTGCTTGTGTGTGTGTATGTGTGTGCGCGCGCGATTTATCTACTCAGTGCTGCTTTCCATCTTTCTCAATCTGCACCGGTAAATGGGATTACAATCACCGATTTACTGAATCAGGCAAACAAGATATACAGAGAAAAACAGTGCTAAGCAGTACATACTGTGCTGTTCTACATGAATAAACAGATAATCGACCTAATGGACTTTTGATTGTTATCTATACACAAGCAATATGAAGGAGTTTAACACACTACAAAATACGTATACATATAAGAAATATATTCACAAAAAGACACACACACTCTCACATACACACACCAAAACTCAGAATTGGCAAAAATTATGTACTGTTCAAATGAAAAGACTACTCAACCAGCGTTCCTCTTGCAACCTCCCTTAAATGTTCGGTGCCGGGAATTACTGCACTCTGTTCAAATATTTTCACAAATAACGCTTCAAAGCAGTTTATCAAAAGGAGCTAATGCCACGGTATTTTCTTAAAGCTGATCCAGCTCCAACTATGCGGGATTATAATTGAAAGCAGCTGACCGTGCCTCTTACTTCCGTTTAAAAAGCGCTTTCTTGTAAACGGGTTGGTATTTTTATAGAAAAATGTGACTAATACATGACCATATAAAGAGACTGGCCGCTAGATAGGCCGCATACAAAATGTTATTGCGATCATACGAGAAAGTAAAACCCTGTGGGGAGAAAAGGCTCATCTGCTGGTCTTGCCGACAACTGCTGGACGTCGCTTATTAGTGAGTGGTACTAGCGAGAAAGTAAACGACCGCTTGGACTGACCCTGAAGAGGTGGTGTATATACATCGAGCAGCAAGCGGGCACTAACTGGAAGTATGCAGCCCAGGATCGAAAGGCCTGCTGTAGCTGTGGAGCGTGTTGATAAAATGTCCGATAATTCAGGCAGTCTGGGAATTCGTGATGTTACTAGCTGGCAAGTTTAGATAAGATAAAATATTTTAGTGTTAAAAGAAGAATTAATAAAATATTGAAAAATATTTTTAATGCTAAAAAATGCTTCAGTCCATTAAGTCGTACACATTTCTTACCATTACCACAATTGGACTTCGTCGGCACAACGATTGTGGTAATTAGTATGAATTTCATTTAAATTTAAACTGTTTTGTTAGAATGGGATAGGTAAGGTAATAATATAAGGTAAGTGGATAATAGAGAGAAGGATGTTTGGTCTGCCTGCGACTGCTAAACCTGTAGTTATTAGCGTTAGTAGATGAAGAGCATGCAAATGTTAGTAAATAGCACGTAAGTTTTAGTAAATAGCATGTAAATGTTGATGTGCAGGGACTGCCTTGCGTGGGAAGGGTAGATGTGCGTTTAACTACTCAGCATACAGCAGAACATGAATCATTAATGAATTCTTTTTCGACAGAAGAGGTTGGGCAGAGTTTTCAAGAGCGGCGAAACAGTTTTCTTGTAGGTCTGCATGCACAACTTCATATACTTGAATATTAATTACCGCAGTGTTACTCATTACCACAGTGCCTGTAGTTATTAGCGTTAGTAGATGAAAAGCATGCAAATGTTAGTAAATAGCACACAAATTTTAGTAAGTAGCATGTAAGTGTTAGTAAATAGAATTAGAATGCAAATCTTAGTAAATAGCGTGCAAATGTTGTTGTGCAGGGCCTGTCCTCCGCGAGAAGGGTAGATGTACGTTTAACTACTTAGCATACAGTAGCACATGAATCTTTAATGAATTCTTTTTCGGCAGAAGAGGTTGGGTGGAGTTTTCAAGAGCGGCGAAACAGTTTTCTTGTAGGTTTGCATGCGCAGTTTCATATACTTGAATACTCTACTGGCGACCATTGCTGTTGATCCTTATAAACCAATACGCCAAAGACGATATCAGCGCAAGCGTAAACGAATAGACGCAGAGGTCGCCGGTGGAAGTCTGTGAAATATCCACAAGGTACATCGGAAAAGAGTGTAAATAACATATTGATAAATCTTCATTTCGACAACCAGATGAGGAACTCCGACGCATAAAGAGCACTGGACGTTCGTTCCTTCTTCACTTACATATTTCACTGATTTATTTGTGGGACTAATCCCAACTTCATTATACGCTTGCGGCAGGAGAAATGTCAGCGACAAATTATGCGGTAGTCAGAAACATTAGGAGAAAATTTGGAACACCCAAAGATGAGAATGGAGTTCGAATCCAAGTTACAACGATGGATGCTACAGAAAGTACACGAACTTCAAGAAAAGGACAATTCATGGACGGTGAAAAAGCTTAGGAAAAATTTGGAAGTAACTCGAGGTCCAGGGATAACGAGTGGCAAGACGAGGGAATCGCTTTCAACATCTTCAGGAGACCAACCAATGAAAATGCAGTTTGTTGTCCTTGAAATTGTTTGTCTACTAGGAGGAAGCATAAGGCCAGCAACGAAGAGCGAGCAACTCGGCGAAACAAGGGCAGACATTCGAAATTAACGCGGGAAGAAATCCGAGCATGAAGACTGCACTATGGAAAATGGGAAGCACTCTAGAGTGGTTGGTAAGATGCAACGATCAAACTGCTGAGTTTAATGTAAAAGTAGTTCGATTCACGGGAGCAGTTCGATTATCGTAAGTGAACTCCTTGCGGATCGTTACACCGTCAGTGGCCTAAGTGGAGCGAACAGATAGCAATCTTTCGTGTGGGACGATAGTATGAAGCAGTACTGACATGCAATCTGTATTTCGCGATTCGTCATGTAATCAACGATAGTACCGTGATGCTACATATATTTGGTATATATCATTCGTATCGATGGAACTATCTAACGAATCTTATTTATATGGGTATGACATTATGATCACCCAACAGTATCTTGGTATCCGGATTTCATGTATTTATCTCGCAAATTTATCACGTTGACGAAATGTTGGCGCCGGGAGTGTCGCGTCAAGCACGAAAAGTGTAACGAGGAGGAGGATAGCCGGCGGCCTGTGCGACTGTGGAGGTGGCTGTCGCCCAAATTAATGAACAATACTTTATTAGTAAAGCAACGCAGAACAAAAAAAAAGTCAAGAAAAAAACAAACCGCGAAAAAACCCGGCAGCAGCTCTAAGCTGCCATCGGACAGTACAGGGAGCGAGAGCGAAAGAGCAGCAGCAGCTCCAAGCTGTTGCCGCACAACTTTAATGACGCAAAAAAACAATTCAGAATTCTTGTCTAATCATCATATTAAATATCACGGAGGGGGAACTCGATTCAGGAGATGGGACATTTGCATAATACAAGGAAACGTAGGGCAACTGGGTGAAGCGGGAAATACATATATTAGAAAAATAATCAAGTGAACAGGAATATTCCAATTCATTAAGTCGTATACATTCATACCTATTCAGCAGCACAATTAGTCAACGTCAGTACGATGGTCGTGATGTTAATATGGGTAATGGAAAACGAAAGTGTGAGTTGTGTAGGGGATAATTTCTGGGGTGAGATAATATAATATAATTTATAAAGAAATATCGTATTTATAAAAATAAAAAAAGTGATGTAACTAACAGGCTGAGTCAGTAAGTATCCTCGAGGTCCAGAAGTGGCATATAAATACGTCCATTGGTGACTAATTATCATTTACAGCAGTGCCATGGAGCACTGACGTGCTCCACGGACACATTCCTCTTCTTTAACACCAAAAACCATCACAAATAAATTTCTTCATCACTGGCGCCTTCTGCTCCACCACCACTAACAAATTCTTCATCATTGACGCCTTTTGCTCCACCACCATACATCAATTTTCTACATCCTCACGAATTACGCCTTTTCCTAATAGTGGCGGCCATCAAGACTTGTTGCACAGTTTGCACTGTTGCCAAGTCAGAAGCAGTTGATCCTGGACAAACGACCAGCGATTCATAGCACATCCATGGCCTTCTTCACTTATTTAAAATGAGGCATGATAGATGTTTTTAGAGATGTGGTGGAGAACTTCACCATCATAGTTTTGGTCTTCACCAGTCCACAGACCCTCGTTTTTTCCTTCCATTACACATTTTTAACTGTATGAGAGGTGAGCAGGCACCAAATGGGTCTGCTCAGATTCTCGGTCGCAGGCAGCATGTCTTCTCATCGAACTGTACTTTCTCGCATTGTCGTAATGATATCCCGCACATCGCTTATCTGACGAAGAGTCCAATTGTTTATGTGGTTGTGGAGAGATACATCATGCATCCCTTGTTCCATCCTTTTCTCCGTGGCAGCTAGCGCTCGCTCTTCAGCTTTCGTCAGTGACGACTTTTCGCATCGGTCAGTCATTGCCTTCAGTACAGCGGTGTTGAAGAGGTGGATATGGTCCTTCCGGTTCAACACTTTGAGGATATCGACGATGCTGTGGAATTTGCGCCAACCGGCAGCCTTCCGACGTGCAGTCTTGGGATGAAGATTGTATCACAATTCATTTGTCCGAGGTAGACGTAACTGTCAACTTCTTCCAAGTCCACACCGTCTATTTATGCATTTTACGTTGCGTAACAGCAACATAAAACGTATACTGTTACGGGATTGTCTGTGTGTGCGTGTCCCGCACTTTCAACTCGAGAACCACGGAAGCTAGGATGTTGCTATTTTAGGAGATTGTTCCTTGTCCAAGTACGACCCATGAGATTTAAATTTAGCCTTCCCGTATCTGCATGCAACACATGCAGCTCCGTGAATGTTTTGGCGGGGAAAATTGTTATCTCGAGAACCGTAAAAGCTTGGAAGCTGGAATTTCATGGATATGTCTCCTACTTACGTGCGATCCAGAAAATTTGAATTCAGCTCTCTCGTGCGCTTGGTGTTACGTACAGCCTTGTGAAAGTTTTGGCGGGAAATTATTATCTGGAGAACCATGAAAGCTAGGAAGCTGGAATTTAACTAGAATGTTTCCTGCTCACTTACGGCCCTGTAAATTCAAAACCAGTTTCCAGTCAAGCTTAAGTTTCACATATGCCCTCGCGAAACTTTCTGCGAGTAATTTTTCCCGCGGAGCCATGGGAGCTGAAATTTAAGAATTATTCGACCTCGTGAAATTTTTAGCGAGAAATTTCGTGAAATTTTTAGTGAGAAATTTCAGGACCAGACAACATTTCGCAGTGAAAATCCTTAGCAGGCAAACGCCCGCTGGACAGTACTGCACAAAGCATATGATCGCACCGGCTG